AGAGAAGTCGCGAGCCATACGCAGCCTCATGGATGGAATCTACGATGTTCATGGCCGCATTATAAGAAGCTTATCTGGTATGCTATACGTATGGATGGTTTTTTACACGACATTATTCACGGCGGCCTACCTCGACGCAGCCGAACAGTCCTTTTTCCTGAACAACCTAATTTATAAACTATCGACCAAGGAAGCGGCCCTCTGCGAAGGAAAAGTCACTTTGGAAGAATGCACTGCAGCTCTACATTCCTTCTCTTCCAATAAATCTCCGGGGGTGGATGGCCTCACGTATGAATTCTACCGTACATTCTGGGAATGTATGGGTCCCGACCTGGTGTCGGTTTTAAACGCATCAAACCACATAGGACAATTGTCCCTGTCACAACGCACTGGCATAATTACGCTATTATATAAAAAAGGGGATAAGTTAGATCCCAAAAATTGGCGCCCAATAACATTACTTTGTACAGACTACAAAATTCTCTCTAAAGTTCTTACTGGCCGCTTGGCCAAGGTTCTCTCATGTGTTGTATCCCCGTGCCAGACGTGTGGCATTCCGGGACGTTTCTCTGGTGAAGTCGTGCGTCTGACGCAAGACTGTCTGGACCATGCAAATTCATCGAACGTTGGGGGCGCTTTGATATCACTCGATCAAGAAAAGGCCTTTGATAGAGTAGATTGGGATTTTTTAGCGAATGTCTTAATTAGCATGAACTTCGGACCTTCGTTCCGCGCGTGGGTTCGGTTGCTCTATACTACGTTGTACTCACGCATATTAATTAACGGTGCTCTCGGGGGTCCTTTTTCTGTTTCCCGGGGAGTGCGGCAGGGTTGTCCCCTCTCGCCCCTCTTGTACGTCTTAGGAGCGGAACCGCTCACGCGTGCCATACAGGAATCACCGGAGATCGATGGCTTCCCACTACCATCTGGGGAACGAGTCAAGATCCTCCAATACGCGGATGACACCACTTGCTTTGTGATGTCTGACTCTAGTATGCTCGCGTTATTTAACCTCTTGGAACGATATGCCAACGCTACGGGTGCACAACTAAATATTTCAAAGACAGAAGGACTATTGTTCGGTACTTGGAAACTCAAATCAGACTTACCAATTAATTTGAAATGGACGTCCAACTCTCTAATCGTTCTGGGATGTCGTGTCGGGAACTCTGTTCTGCCAGACTGGGACACACTCGTCAATAAATTCAGGACAAAAATAACATCTTGGTCCACACGATCGCTGTCACTCCAAGGTCGAACGCTCCTGGCTAACACGTTAGGGCTCAGTGTTTTCTGGTACCAAACGACTATCTTTGATATGCCAAAAACCGTAATACACACCATAAATAAAATATTGTTTCCCTTTATATGGGGCAAAAGGAAAGAACCCATCGCACGCAGCTCTGCCGTCGCTCCTCGTTGTTGGGGGGGTTTAGGGGTTGTGCATGTCGCAACCAAGACGTTATCCTTGCGAACCATCTGGCTCAGGCGCCTTCTGCTATCGCAATGCACTATTCCGTGGCCTTCGGTGCTCTCACATCACATCAGCCAAGTTTTTAAACAAGATTTGGATACGTTCTTTGCTCGAGAAACCATTCCTGCATATCTCATCAAGAAGATTCCAAAATTTTACCAATCCATGATCCAAACGTGGATACAGATCAAGGGACGACGGGTCGATAACTTGTGGTTGGTAGGGAACAATAACACCGTTCCCATTCCACTGGCGGAACTCACCGCAGCACGTACTTACTCTACGTTGTTGGAAAGTACACTGACGCCACATAAAGCAATAGACAAATTCTCTGCAATGCAGATTACGGTCCACTGGCCATCTGTGTGGCACTCTCTTACACTATGGCGATTTGTTCGCTCTGTTGCAGACAAAAATTACTACAACTTTCATGGCCGCCTTGCCACCGCGGACCGCCTGCTTCGGTTTGGCATGAAAGTTGATGGCAACTGTTTCTGTGGCGAGCAGGAAACTGCTCTCCATCTACTGTGTCACTGTCCGGTCGCCATCACCGTCTGGGACTGGCTTACACCTCTTCTGGTGTCCTTGGACCTCTCCATTCCCCTCTCCATCTCCACCATCCTCTTCGGATTTCCGGAAGCGAAGAAGACCCCCGCTGCCGTGAATGCCATTTTGGGCATCCTCCGCCATCATTTGTGGCTTCACCGCAATCGATGCAGGTTTGACCGTCTCTCTCCCGATGCCTCTTCGGTATTGCGGATGGCGAAGTCGACTTTCCGATTCGCGGTGAAATTAGAACATCGCCACTCCCTGCGGACGAAGTTCGAGGAAGAATGGTTGCTCCGTGGCCTAGTCGGCACCATCACCGACAATAACAGCGTATCCTTTTCTAAGGATTTTATGTCTTAATTGTTGGTCATTTGTTGGACGGTGCTGAAGGGGGTCGCCTTCATTGGTTGTACTGCCGGATAGCCCGTTCGTCGTCCGTTACGTAGATGTGAAAGGAGCAGCTCGCTGTCCCTTTTAATATCTCGTCTCGTCCATTTTCGTTCGTTTTGTCAAAGTTCTGGCATTTATGCCTGGGCTTAGTATCGTCGAGAGATCCTCGATCTCTCCTTTTCGTTTCTCTGTCGGTTCTGTCTGCGGGGGAGAGGTTCGCATCCTCTGTCGATCTGCGTCGCTAGTAGCGGCCTCCCTGAGTGTACCGGTCTTGCATGCACAGGTGCGTAGTCATTGCACACCCCGACTTCGTAACCTACCCGGTCCCCACCCAAAATAAGATCAAGTGTTCTTATCAGCTTAATAGGCAGTGCTGTTCTTATCAGCTTAATAGGCAGTGCTATACTTGATTGGTTTCCGTTAATTGGTTCGTTGAAAGTTAATTGGATCGCTAATTGGAACGCTAATTGGATCACACTTATCAAGGTTAGTTGACTTTGAATTTGGATTTGCTTTTACGTCACTGGATTTGGATCGGAATTGGAATTTGCACCGGAATTGGACTTGGAATTGGAAGACCCTTTGGTATTTTCGTACTCGGACTCATCTACGTAGCGATACAGAAGTGGAGCTTTCGACCGGCATTTCCCTACATCGTTCGGTTCGGACTATTTTTCGCTTTTGACCACGTAATTTTTTCCTGCAATTGGTCCTCTTACTGTTACGAACACTGTGTGTGAGTTTTCACGCGCAACTATCGCTAAAACGCCGATATTTCGAAGACGAACTTTCGCAAGTGAGTTGCTCGAGATTCTGTCACGACCCCATTACGCGTTTGGAGGGTTGTTTTCTTAAATACCGCATCGAATTTGCGTTGGCACTGGCAATATAGAACTACAAACGGTATCTTGTACGAATTCGACAACAAATTCGTACGAAATCTCATCGAGTTTTAAAACGACCGTTGGCTATTTTACGGTTGCCTGGCTACCATTTCAAATTCGCGTGCACTTTTCGCTACAACGCGTTATATTCGAACTCTTTACTTACTTTTATTTACTGCTGGCGTTATATTACTGATATACCCGGGTATACTCAGTCTTTCCCAAATTGTTCCAATATTTGGCAAGTTTTTCTATCCTAACTTCAAAACGCGACCGTTGGCTGTTTTTCGGTTGCTACGTAACGAATTTAAATTCCTACTGCATCGACTTGCCTGCTCAATAGACCGAACAATTATCGCGTGACAATAATACCGTCACACAATACGGAACTTTCTCCTCGCTAACTCATCGATCTGCCGCATTTTCCACCGAACTCTCTCTGATAGTTGCGGCTGCTACTATTTCACGGCGATTGTATCGAGGGATAAACATTTTAACCGCCTCTTTACTTATTTCGGGATACATAGTCTCTACACAAACGCGATTATATATTCCCGACCGACTGTTTGTTTACATTTGCATCGACCATCCTCGCCGCTATTTTCTCGCCGTGCAGTGAACCTATTCGCCCAACCACAACATATAATTGTTCCTGCACGTACACTCCGCTGAACCTATCGACTATCTGTTATTACATCGGTGACAACCGACGATATTTTGCGATTCTTATCCCAGACTTTCCCGAGCATATTTTTGTTCGGCGAGTCAAGCGTATCGCGTGCCCATCGAAAGTTACTCGCTCGCAAGTGTTTGGAAATCACTTTTTACACGGCCCGACACTTTGTACCTTCTCTCCGTGGCCCACGCGAGTTATTACAGTGTTTCTGGGTTCTTTTTTTCCGATTGCGGCCGATTCAGCACTGCCAGGAGCCCTACTTCGCTGTACGTGCCGTACACGGGCCGATATTTGATACCATACTTAAGCCAAATTATAACTTTTTTGACGCGTGCCGTTCATTTTCGCGCGTTTTCCCGCCACATACCGCTAACAAAGCGTAATTTGGCCCCTATTTTTCGAACTTTGCTGGTATTTCGGCTGTTTCTATTGCTTACGTGGCTACAAGAGATCGTGTCACGTCTGTTTGGCGGTACACGTTACCTCACCTTGACTTTTTGCAATGAGGTGCGTCTACTGCAAGCAATACTTCCGTACCCGTCATGCTCTAAGCAGTCATTGGAACTGCACACATCATGGTCGGCTTAAAGGTGACGGATCTCCTCCTGAGAAGTGCACAGTGACGTTTAACACGGACCGCTCGGCTCAAGACCTTCACTGCCCACACAAAGGCTGTAAATTTCAGAGCCGACGCGTCGATACCGTGAAACACCTATCTAAACACTTCTCCAGGTGTCACAAGCGTGAGGAGCTCGTCGTGAACTACTTTTGTGGCACCTGCGGCGTCTATTTGGACCCAGCTGAGCGGCAGTCCCATCGGGAAGCGCACACCAGAGCCTCCCAGTCTGGCACGCAGTTCAGCCCGCCCACACCAGTGATCGATCCTGCCACTGCTGAACTGACACTCGTCCCGGGCCATCACCAACTCGCATCATCGTCATCGCTATCGCCAATGAAGCTTGACATCAGGCTTCTATCCCCACAGGAGTCGTTCCGCCTCACTTCACCCAAGAAGGCCTCCATACCCATGGCGAAACGACACATCCATCACACACCACTGGATCCACTGGCTGCCCCGTTCACACCGTCTTCACCACCCACACAACCATCTGTACCAAGTCCCCCACAGCTATCGTTCTCATCGCCTGGTTGGTTTCCAGCTTCACAAGACGATAGACTTTCTCTACATGGTGGATCCTCGCCAGAACATCCCAGAGATACTCCTGACATCGTTCACCAGCCACCACCTCTCGCTCCATCTCACTCCATGGGACCCATACCACCACCTTCTAAACTTATCCCACCTCAGCGCTTCACCACCCAGCAAGGCACAACTTCAACTTCTGATTCCCCCAACACACTGGACCGCTTGTCCATTTCACCTGGCTCCACACCGGACCCATCACTCCTCCCACTGGATTCTCCACTCACCACCTGCCGTACCAACTCTCCGTTCACTCCTGTACTCCCCTCACAGTTCACCATCTCTGGTCAAACTCCACCACTCATATCCCCATCAACGCCCGACAATGCACAGGGTCTGGACCACCACATTTCTCAATCCTCCACCGCTGCCACACTGTCTCCACCACCAACTCCGCCTCCCCCCTCCCCACAATCCACCCGCCATGACATCATCGACAGCATCCACACACAACTTTCCCGCCTGCGACAACTCACCCGCGAGGACAGCGTGTCTCCATCACCTCCGTCACCTTCATCATCATCATCACCCTCCTCTGTTTCCGAGCCATCATCAACAGACATGCAGCCAGCCATCACTGCCTTTTCACGTCTGCTGGAGATGTCTGAACGTCCCAAACCCTCCAGCAGCTCATCATCCACAGTCACAGAGGACCGTGCATCCGTCAGGGTAGCTCCGCCACCACCAGTAAGTCAGCAAACACAACCGTTCCACCGCCGCAACCGCCACTCCTCCTCTTCTAAGGTACCACAGCTCACCCCCATCCTCCAAGCATATCGTCATCAGCAGGGTGGAGCTGCCCACAGACCACAGCACCCACCACCACAACACCACGCTGAACAGTCTCTAGCTGCTTCAGACCATGCAGACTGGGACTCTGCCGACGACTTCGCTAGTCCTTCATTGCACCCCAGGCCTGTATCCCGCCATTCCGACACACCATCCCATTCACCACCGCCGCAGCACACACCTGGGTTGACTGACCAAGTGGATGAAACCATCAACGAGATCCCTTCGCACCAACCTCGTCCTCATCGGGAACCCGACCACCTACCACCAGGGGAAGGCAATCACAATGCCCCCCCGTCGGACGATGAGGATGGTGTGAAAAGTGGAAGGGAACTTTCTCTGAAGACTCTACCTGGGAGGAATTCACCACACACTGCACCACCTTCGCCACTGCCGCACGAGAACTGGCCACCAGCTTAAAGAAATCACACACCTCACGCACGCCCAAACCGTCATCTCAGTCACGCCCACCAACCTCACGCCGCCCGCCGCAAGGTAGATCCATCCCCAGATTCGACCCCACCGAAGCCCTTCGCCTGCAAGGCCTGTATTATCACTCCAAGAGACGGGCTGCACGGAAGATTCTTGGGAACAACAACACTATCTTCATGGGCTCCATCGACAACGCCGAACAATACTTCACCACCTCCCTTGCAGAAAAATTCACAAACACATCAATCCTGCAGGAGCAACTAGATCAATTCACTCCCACCGCCCGTGAAGAACCCACCACCAAACTCTTGTACGATGAACTGCGACAGTCTGAGATAGCTGCCAAACTAGGCTCCGTTGCCAACACCGCACCGGGTTCAGACAGATGCGAGTATGCTCACCTTAAAAAGGTCGACCCCACCGCTGCCATCCTGTCCCTGATCTTCAACCGATGCCATGCAGAGAAGGACGTTCCACAACCGTGGAAAGACGCAGTGACGATCCTGATTTACAAGAAAGGGGACACGGATGACATCTCCAACTTCCGCCCAATAGCGCTCATGTCGACCATGTATAAACTGTTTATGGGCGTACTCGCAAAACGTCTGACCAAGTGGAGCATCTACAACGGCATACTATCGGATGAGCAGAAAAGCGCGCGGCCCTCGGAAGGATGCTACGAGCACACCTTTTTGTTGAAATCAATCGTGGCAGACTCTCGACGCCGCAAGCAAAAGCTGTGCATGGCCTGGCTGGATATCCGCAATGCCTTTGGCAGCATCTCACACGACGTCATACGCTCTTCGCTTCAGCACATTGGTGTCCCAGCGGACATGATTCAGCTCATCGGCAACGCGTACTCCGGTGCCTCGACAACTATAAAAACACCTGCAGGCAGCACTGCTTCTATCCCAATTCGTGCCGGGGTAAAGCAGGGCTGCCCACTGAGCCCTATTATCTTTAATCTGTGCATGGAGTTGATTCTGCGCATGGTTAAATCTAAAGCCAGTCAACTCCGCTCGGGGGTATGCAGGTTTCAGAGTCGCACCGTCTCGTGTCTAGCCTATGCCGACGACTTGGTCCTGCTGGCTCGTTCTCCAGACGCTCTCCAACAACTGCTTGATCGTGCCTCGGACGCGGCCTCGGTGCTCGGTTTCGAATTTCGGCCCGACAAGTGTGCGACGCTCTTTCTCACCACCGAAGGCAAGCGTCGCCTCTGGACGGACCGCCACGACTTCACTCTTCAGGGTGACCATTTGCCGGCCCTTGAGAACGAACAGTCATACCGATACCTAGGAGTGCCAATCGGGGTCATCCACAACATCGATGACATCCCGAGCATCATCCCGCGTCTGATCCACGATCTCCACTCCATCAACTCCTCTCTTCTCGCTCCGTGGCTGAAACTGGATGCGATCCGCACTTTCATTCAACCCTGCCTCACATACGCTCTTCGTGCCGGCGATCCGCTGAAGAAGTCACTCAGTGAATACCGCTCCCTCCTCGTCAGGGTCCTACGCGAAATCTGCAACCTGCCAACCAGAGCCACTCAAAGCTATTTCTTTGCAGCGAAAAAGGCCGGTGGCCTGGGCTTTCAGGACCCTTTCGTGGAGTGTGACATGCAGGCAATCGTGCAGGCTGTTCGTGTGCTCTCATCCGGTGATGACAACGTTACCACCATCGCCAAGGAAGATCTTCGTGCCTTTGTCCGTCAGACGGCCCAATCAAACCCGACCGCGGACTTGATATCGAAATACCTCTCTGCCAAGGACGATCCAAGACTGAGAACACTGCACTACTCCTCTCACTCGTCACTGTGGTCGAGAGTCAGAAAAGCCTGTCGCCGTCAGAACATCGACGTTCGATTCTCCGATTCCGAACCTCCCACCATCTCGGCAGACGAATCCGATGCGGTTAAGTCTCACCAGGTATCGTCTTTTCTCCATCGCCTGGCCCAACAGCGGTATGCAGACTCACTGGCTGCTCTTCCGGATCAAGGAAAGGTGGCCCGTTGCCTGGCTGAGGATGTCTACGCCAATGGCTCGAGCTGGCACATGAATGGACTCAACATTCGCTTTAAAGACTGGAGATTCATTCATTGCGCCAGACTCAACGTGCTCCCCCTCAATGCCAACAAGAGCAGATTCTCCCACACAGATCCGACATGCCGCCATTGCACCCAACCGGAAACCCTGCCTCACGTTCTCTGCCACTGCCGATCGCTGATGACGCAGATGCGCGAACGACATAACCTTATCGTGGACGGTATACTGAACTCAGTACGATTCGGTGATGTCACCACCGATCATGCGGTGCAGAACTCCGGACTACGCCTCCGCCCGGACATCGTAGTAGAAGAAAAGGACGACGTCCTGATCATAGATGTCACTTGTCCCTTTGACAACGACGACAACGCTCTGGCCGATGCGGCGCAAACCAAGCTCAATAAGTACGAACCTCTTAAGCAACACTTCATTGGACTTGGCAAGCGCTGCGAAATCCACCCTTTCGTCATCGGAGCCCTGGGATCCTGGTACCGCCCGAACGAGCTACTTTGTACCCGACTTGGCATGACGCGACGTTATAAGAACCTTTTCCGCAAGTTGTGCTGCTCGGATGCAATCCGTGGATCTTCCGATATCTACCGCCTCCACCTGGGCTGCGATTTGGCAACCCAGGATGCCCAGTAAACATAATAGACATAAGAACTCATCTCTTATTACGAACGTACCCATAATTCAATGGAACACTCTATATATTTGTAAATAGTATATGTATATAGTAATGATGTACTTTGGGGAAATGAACAATACGGGTGGGTTTCTTTCTGCTTTCGTCGAATTTCTTTCTACATATAGTCTTCTCCCACTGCCACTTACCTTCTCTCTAATGTCATCTATTTCTTTACTTACCTTATCATTTACCTTTTAACTTACCTTCTTACTTATCTGTTTTTTCTACCTATTTTTTATACTTACCTTAACTACCTTAATATAGGATATAGTAACTATTAGTTCTATATGCATGAAATTATTTTGTAAATATTGATTGTTGTAATTGGGCCCATCAATTTAAATAAACTACTGATAAGAACTCTGTTCTTATCAGCTTAATATCTGATATGTCGGGCAATGCCCGACTCTTATATTAAACTGATTTTTGGATATCGGCGATGGGATTGGAGCTTGCTTCGCCCTGGCCACGGGTTGTCTCGGTATTGCACTACCTCCGAGTTCGGCCCATTTCCCTTCGCGGAAGGGAAACACATTTACTTTAAACAAAAGAAAAAAAACAAACAAAACAGCCAGCAAATCAAATAGCTAAGCGAATTTATTTTGTCTGTAACTAACTAACTAACTAACTAACCGAGAAACGAACTGTTTAACATTTAACTAACTAACTAACATACGTCTCTTTTCGACAGAGTCGGCGAAAGACGAAAAGACGTCGTCGTCGTCGGAAAGGAAGACAATAAAGGCCGTCAGACGGTAAGTTGCAAGTGCAAAAGTAGTGAAAAGTAAAGGAGGGGTGCAACCGTGTCGCACCGAGCGTACGTTCGCGTACAAAGTATGCTCGCCGTGCGTCGTTCGAGCATACTTACCTGACGCGAGAGGCACCTTGATCAGCTAGGAGGTCCTCTCAGGATGAGGCCCTTTCATTGCACTTCGACTGGGTTGACTCCTGCGATTACCCTAACGTGGGTAACTCGAGCGTATAATTTCTGGTAGTGGGGACCTGCGTTCGCGCTCGTCCCCTTCGTTTCTCACGATGGGAGGAAGAAGCGGAGAAAAAGAACAAATAAAATAGAACACAATAGAGAGAAGAGGGCCTTTCGTCCGTCAATTGTATGCCACGCTTTGGGACATATATAAATTCGTTGTTCGTTCGGGGTTAGGTTGCATGCTGCCAAATTTTTTACTGACCTATCCCAAAATGCATAGCGAGATGCAGGAGAAATTTATATCAGCTATTAGCAAGAATAAATTACTTGTATTTGACATAAATTACTTGTACTTAACAACGACGTAAACGGCCGGCGTGTGTGTATATTTTGACGGACGGCATATACATTATGAAAATATACAAATTATAATATGTATCGTCGACGTTAACAGTAATGATATTGCATTGCGAACGTTTTTCTTACTTAGTCGTACGTTTGTTTAGCTTTTATAGTAATTATTTCTATGTATCACTGACATTTAACGGCTCGTAGTGTAAAATTCGTTCATTGAGCTGCTTGTCTGCCGATTTCATGAAGCATGACCTTGTTGACATTGCAGCACTTGCATACAATGCGAATCATTATCGCCCACAAGCACAAAGCGTTTGTTTTACAATGAGAAAGCACGTCTGCAGCAAGTTCGCGACAGACATCGCGTGCTTCCTACGTCATATGAACGATCGCATTTCGCGGCATTACGCGCGAATTTTCAAACATGTTCTTCTTTACGAACAGGTGTACATTGGATTAGAAAGAACGCTTGACATGACGATTGTAGTAAAGGATGATTCCTTCGTTATCCGTACTGCTTGATTTTTTTCATTTGTTGCATGATTTCTACGCGAAAAGATACAATAGAACCGTGTGTTTCTCATGCAACTTGTAGAGTGAAAAAATGGCGAAAGCTCTTCTTCTGTATCGCTTCTCGGCCTTTTGGCTAAGATCAAGTGTAGCTGCCGACGGACACGGTGACAAGTCGAGAATTGCTGTTGCTGAGTCTGCGCGTTCTGATCGTTTGGTGTTCTGTTAATCGTATTCAATATCGTCTTCGAAATCGTGAGTTCGTTCCTTGTTTGTAAATTGTTATATTTTGTATCTGTTTTCTGGTAGTTCCTTATTAGGGGGCCCATTTAGGGGGCAACCGAACAGGAGGGGGTCTTTCCTCTTTTCTTGTTGCTAGGGTCTAGTCGGGGGGTGGTTTGGCCACGTTCTGACACCTTCAGTGTTCCTTCTTATATTTCGCGTGTTTATCGCCATTTTGTTATCGGGAAGCTTTCTTCCTCGACTTGTTTTTGCGAAGCTACAAGACTTCACGTGTGATTTATATTCTTTTTGGTTTCTGCTATAAGTAGGAACTGCTATATACTGTGTGCTTTCGAGTTTATATAGTTGCTCGAACGTTTATCTTACTTTAAAGAACGATCGTTTATCGAAGGTCGTTTGTACTTTGATCGGGCGTTGTTTTATAACTTCTTGCTCGTACTTTCTATTTATTATATTCCTTTATCTTTTGCCTTTACGCTGATTGCTGTTATTCAGCGTTGTTTAATTTATCGATTGACTTGCTTGGACCTTTGCCGTTCAAACTATTATACTTTTCGCGAAGCACGTTGTTTGTTTGCTTCGTTTCTGCCTATTTTTTGCCTTGTTTTTTTGCTAGTTTGTTTTAGACTAGCGTATTTTGCCTTTTGCCTTTTTGTTCTACGGTGAATATCATATCTAACTGTAGATTTTCTCACTATTTTGCCTTTTGCCGTTGTATATTTACGCGGCGTTATATATTATTCGTGGGCGTAGTCGAGCGTCTTTCGCTTGAAGATACGCTAGTATCCTGAGTGTTTTTGCACTAGTTGTTACATTTCTCCTGGTGTAAGCGTGTTCTATACTTTTTCTACTTTTATTTGGTCTGTTTGACCGAAGACTTTTTTCTTTGGGCGTTTTTTTTCTGCCATAAACGTCTGATTTCTTGCTTGTATGAATTGAGTGCATGATTGCTTGCATTTTTAATTTTTCATACGCCCCCGTTTAATACTAATATTTTGTGAACGGAATAATAACATTTTATATAAACTTGTACAATGATACCGTACGCCTCAAGAACCGTCGATATCGTACTGCATCCTGACTGCCCCCTTCCCAAAAAGGGTGCCAAGGATGTCATAAACCTGTTGAAGACACGGGAATTGTCTTCTACAATAGAAGCTGTCGTCCAGATATCACCGGAGAGATATCGCCTGACCTTCAATAACGCTCGACAAATGCAAGCGTTCTCTAATCAGGACTTTTGGTGCATGCAAACCCGTCGAGTTTCGATCAGTTTCCCCATTTACTTGGGTTTATATTTCCCGTCTGTCATACGGCATCCCTGACGAAGCCATCACTAGGGCACTTGCCCCTTATAGTGGCGGCATTAAAACCATCAAGTCGGTGCTGCATGAGAAAATATATACTGGTGAGCACAACGTGCTCATGAAGATCGTGGCAAACATCCCCGCTCGCCTCCGCATAGCCGGACATTGGTGTGTGGTTAAATACAGTGGCCAAAAGCCTGTATGTTTCAAATGCCACAAGGAGGGACACGTCATCGCTGACTGTCCGTCTTATAGAGCTGCCCTAGACAGCTACAATAATAATATTACAAATCCCAACGAGGATCCTGCTACTACCGGTAGCAATAATAATAATACAGACTCTTCTGTACCTTCCGCTCCTTCGCGCAGCACATACGCCGCGATTGCGAGGAGCAATATCGTATCGAATAATACCTCCGAGAGTACCGGGCCATCCACTCCCGTGCTAACAAATTGTAGTAGTAGTGCCCAGTCAGCTCCTGCCTGCGTTTCCGACGCTCCGGAACCTGCCTCTTCTGCCTTGCCTGCCCTTTCTGCCCCTTCTGGGGGGGGTGGCACTGTCAACATGGAGTCCTCGCCTTCGAACACCTTCAGCCCCGTTCGACGAAGACGTGGAAAAAGACGCCATTCTCCAGCTACATCACCGCAACCGGAGGAGAAACGCGCGACGCCCGCTGACGTGACCGTTGCTGACGATAACACCCTTTCCGATCCCGAAAACGCGGAATCGCCTCCTGAAACCGTGCCCCTTCCTGCGGACACTGATGAGGATGATGATGATGATGATGATGACACGGACATGGACGACGAGACAAACCAGACCACGAAAGTGACTGGCGATGACGATGATGATGATAATGATGATAACGTTGACAATGATGATAATGATGATAACGTTGAAAATAATGATGATACTGATGAAAATGTGGATAATGATGATATTGGTGACGATAACGAGTCACAGCATTCGGCAGCGGAACAAATGGACCCGGCCGACTACCTCGACCTTGGTGAAGATGATTGCTCCAGCGATGATGGCGCTTCCTGCGCTTCCTTCGCTACCGTATCAGAGGCGGAATTGCCCACCTCACCTGCTCCTCGTCCCGTGCGACTTTCCCTCAGGAAAGACACACGACCCAAAACTCGCAATGAGTCTGCTGGTGCCGTGGCACATGACGCGGACGCATTATATAAATTGGCGGCAGTGCTTCCCACCCAGGGGGGCTCTCCATCTTTTTAAACTTATTTAACTTTTTCGACAACTTTTTTGTCTTTTCCTTTTTTCGAATTTTTTCTTGCCTCTATAACTTTTTCACGATGACTACTTCAACGGCATTGATATCCCTCATTACGTTGAACTGCCAAGGCCTCCGTAATGCGACACAGAGGTCTGTTTTATTTTCCTGGCTTTCTTGTTTTTCCCCCCTTATCGTGTGTTTACAAGAAACCCACGCTACGAGCCATGCCGAATTTGAACAATGGATTGAAGCGGAAACTCGGGCCGATAACAACAAGCCCAAGTATCAAGTTCTTTCTTCTCCCGGCACGACCCGTTCGCGGGGCGTTGCCGTTCTCTATCACCCTTCTCTTTCCGTTCTTTTTTCTTCAGCCGACTCACAAGGTCGGTTGCAAATCATCCATTTCTCTTTCCATTCTACCCCTTTCCAGCTTGTTAACGTTTACGGTCCTAACCAGAAGAACCCTGGCATCGAGTTTTATCATTCCATCCTCCCGTTGGTGGATGTCTCTCTGCCTACAATCATAGGGGGAGATTTTAATACGGTGGTCGATCCACACCTCGACCGCACTGGCTGCAACCCTACGTCACCGTGGGCATACAATTGGCCACACACCTTGGCCACCCTTACCACCGAACTAACTCTAACGGACATATGGAGAACTCGCCATCCTTATGAACGCTCCTACACCTGGTCTCGGTCTAACGGCCAAGTTGGATCCAGACTCGACATGTTCTGGTTGTCTTCCTTCTTGGCACCGTATGTGAAGGAAATCTCCATTTTACCATATTTTCGAAGTGACCATTCGTATGTTCATCTTTCTTTTTCTCTTCCGGATGCGCCGGAGCGTGGGAGGGGCTGCTGGAAATTTAATAATAACCTATTAAATAATGCATGCTATAAACAATTAATAGAAAATTTTTGGAAAGAATGGCAATATGAAAAGACCCATTACCCTTCCTTACCTGTCTGGTGGGATGTTGGGAAAGGACTCATCCGCCAATTAACGGTTGATTTCGCTGCCGATATCGCGGCAAAGCAGAGGGACACCTACCAAACCCTCAACGAACATCTCAGGTCGCTCTCCTCCCGTCGTGACGCAGGTGATGATGTGATGGATGAAATTGCAGAAACAGAAACTGCTCTCTACGAGCACCACCGTCGCAAAGCCGAAGGTGCACGCTTGCGAGCACGTGAACGTTGGGCCGAGGAGGGGGAGACCTCCTCTAAATACTTTTTCCAGCGGGAACGAACCCGTGCCGTCCGGAACTTGATGCATGCAATCAACGATGTCCACGGCCGTGTGGTTCGCACTCTGCGTGGGATATTGCATGTGTGGATGCTTTTCTATACTGCCCTTTTTTCTGCAGCCTACTTAGACGCCGCTGAACAAACCTTTTTTCTGCACAGCATTACCCACAAACTATCACCTGTTGACGCAGCCCTCTGTGAGGGAACTGTTTCTTTAGATGAATGTTCTGCTGCGCTTAATTCTTTTGAAAATAATAAATCTCCGGGGGTGGATGGCCTTACCTATGAGTTTTACCGTGCATTTTGGACTTTTTTGGGCCCAGACCTAGTATCTGTTCTTAATGCCTCTTTTTCGGATGGGAAATTATCCCTGTCACAGCGAACGGGAATCATCACGCTTCTTTATAAAAAAGGTGACAAACTGGACCCCAAGAACTGGCGTCCGATAACTCTGCTCTGCACAGATTATAAAATTCTATCAAAAGTTCTCACTGGCCGCTTGGCCCAGGTCCTCCATACTGTTATCTCTCCATACCAGACGTGTGGTGTTCCGGGACGTTTCTCGGGTGAAGCTGTACGCTTGATACAAGACTGCCTGGACTTTGCAAACTCTTCCAACACTGGTGGAGTCCTGTTATCACTCGATCAAGAGAAGGCTTTCGATAGAGTTGATTGGGACTTTCTCCAGAAAGTCTTAACTACCATGAATTTTGGACCTTCATTTTGCGCTTGGATCCGTCTGCTTTATACCACCATATATTCCCGTATCTTAATTAACGGTGCTCTCGGGGGCCCTTTTTCTATTTCCCGGGGAGTACGGCAGGGTTGTCCCCTTTCACCCCTTCTGTACATCCTGGCTGCCGAACCACTTTCCCGAGCGATTCAAGACGCCGATGCCATTCATGGTTTTCCGCTACCAAATGGCACAACCGTGAAAATCTTACAATATGCTGACGATACTTCTTGCTTCGTCATGGATGATGCCAGCCTGCTCGCCTTATTGAACATCTGCGATCGTTTTGCCCAAGCTACGGGAGCAAAATTAAACCTTGACAAGACGGAAGGTCTCCTCTTTGGGTCTTGGAAAACAAGGACAGACCTACCCATCAATTTGAAATGGACGTCCGAATGTCTGATTATTCTGGGCTGTCGCGTAGGAAACTCTGTCCTGCCGGATTGGGACACACTGCTCCAAAAACTTACAACCAAACTCAAATCTTGGTCTTCGCGATCCCTGTCTCTGCAGGGTAGAACTCTGCTTGCAAACACCTTGGGCCTGAGTACCTTTTGGTACCAGGCTACGATCTTTGACATGCCCAAGACGGTTGTGCATGCAGTAAACAAACTTTTATTCCCCTTTTTATGGAATAAAAAGAAGGAACCGATTGCGCGCAGCTCTGCCGTCGCTCCTCGTCTTCGTGGGGGTTTGGGTGTCGTGCATGTCGGCACGAAACTTCTATCTTTACGTACAATTTGGCTACGTCGTCTTCTGCTGACTCGCTTTACTGTTCCTTGGCCGGTTTTGTTCTCTTACAATATTGGGCAAGTCTTCAAGCACGACCTGGACACCCTTTTCAGGCGAGAAACTATCCCTGCCTACTTAATCAAGAAACTCCCAAAATTTTACCAGTCCGTTGTACACACTTGGGTACAACTCGAGGGCCGAGGTCTGGATGATACATGGACGGTCGGGCATACTAATGCCAATCCTATTCCGCTGGCGGAACTCACTGCTAAGCGAACATACTCACTTTTATTGGACCGCTCCTTAGCACCTCACAAGGCTGTTGAAAAATTTCGTGCAATGCAGCTCCACGTCCACTGGCAATCCGTGTGGCGTTCCTTGACATTATGGCGCTACGTCCGATCGGTAGCTGATACCAATTATTATAACTTTCATGGCCGCTTGGCCACCGTGGATCGTTTGATCCGTTTTGGCATGCGAGTTGATGCGAACTGCTTCTGTGGAGAGCAGGAAACTGCAATCCACCTTTTCTACTCCTGTCCCGTCGCTAAGACCGTTTGGGCCTGGATGACCCCTCTCCTGGTGTCTCTGAACGTACCAACGCCCCTTCCCATCTCCACCATTCTCTTCGGATTCCCGGACGCGAAGAAGATCCCCGCGGCCGTGAATGCCATTTTGGGCATCCTTCGTCATCATTTGTGGCTTCACCGCAATCGATGCAGGTTCGACCGTCTCTCTCCCGATGCCTCTTCGGTGCTGCGGATGGCGAAGTCGACCTTCCGATTCGCGGTGAAACTAGAACATCGCCACTGTCTGTTGACAAAGTTCGAGGAAGAATGGTTGCTTCGTGGTCTTATCGGCACCATCACCGACGACAACACGGTATCCTTTTGTAAGGATTTTATGTCTTGAATGTTGGTAACTTGTGGGACGGGTGCTGATGGGGGTCGCCTTCATTGGTTGTACTGCCGGATAGCCCGTTCGTCGTACGTTGCGTAGATTGCGAAAAGGCAGCTTGCTGTCCTCTTCAATATCTCGTCTCGTCATTTTCGTGCGTTTTGTCAAAGTTCTGACATTTATGCCAGGGCTTAGTATCGTCGAAAGATCCTAGATCTTACCTTTTTGTTCTCTGTCGGTTTTGTCCGCGGGGGAGAGGTTCACAACCTCTGTCGATCTGCGTCGCTAGCGGCCTCCTTGAGTGTACCGGTCTTGCACGTAAGGGTTCGTAGTCATTGCACACCCGACCGTAACCTACCCGTCCCCACCCAAAATAAGATCAAGTGTAGCTGCTAACAGACACGGTGACCTGTCGAGATCTGCTGTTTCGAGTCTGCGCGTTGTGATCGTTCGTTGTTCGTAATCATATTCAATATCGTCTTCAAAACTGTGAGTTCGTTCCTTGTTTGTAAATTGTTATATTTTGTATCTGTTTTCTGGTAGTTCCTTATTAGGGGCCCATTTAGGGGCAACCGAACAGGAGGGTCTTTCCTCTTTTCTTGTTGCTAGGGTCTAGTCGGGGTGGTTTGGCCACGTTCTGACACCTTCAGTGTTCCTTCTTATTTCGCGTGTTTATCGCCATTTTGTTATCGGGAAGCTTTCTTCCTCGACTTGTTTTTGCGAAGCTACAAGACTTCACGTGTGATTTATATTCTTTTTGGTTTCTGCTATAAGTAGGAAGTGCTATATACTGTGTATTTTCGAGTTTATATATTTGCTCGAACGTTTATCTTGCTTTAAAGAACGATCGTTTAACGAAGGTCGTTTATACTTTGATCGGGCGTTGTTATATAACTTCTTGCTCGTACTTTATATTAGTTTACCTTGCCTTAACGCTGATTGCTGTCATTCAGCTCTGCTTAATTTATCGTTTGATTTGCTTGGACCTTTGCCGTTCAAGTTACTATACTTCTCGCGAAGCACGTTGTCTGTTTGCTTCGTTTCTGCTTATTTTTCCTTGTATTTTCTGCTAGTTTGTTTTAGACTAGCGTATTCTGCCTTCTGCTTTTTTGTTCTACGGTGAATTTCATATTTCACTGTAGATTTCCTTACTAATTTTGCCTTTGCCGTTGTATATTTACGCGGCGTTTATATATTATTCGTGGGCATAGTCGAGCGCTTTTGCTTGAAGATACGCTAATATCCTGAGTGTTTTTGCACTAGTTGTTATATTTCTACTGGTGTAAGCGTGTTCTATACTTTTTCTACAATTATTTTGGTCTGTTTGACCGAAGACTTTTCTGCTTTGGGCGTTTTTTCTGCCATAAACGCCTGCCTTCTTGTTTGTATGAATTGAATGCATGATTGCATGCATTTTTAATTTTTTCATACGCCCCCGTTTGATATTATTTTTGAACGGATTAACTAATATTTAATAATGATACCGTATGCTTCAAGAACAGTCGATATCATTCTCCATCCTGACTGCCCCCTTCCTAAAAAGGGAGCCAAGGATGTGATAAATCTTTAAAGACACGGAGTTGTCTTCTACTATCGGCGGTCGTTCAAATCTCACCTGAGCGATATCGCTTAACTTTCAATAACGCTCGCCAAATGCAAGCGTTTTCAAACCAAGACTTCGTACATGGAAAGCCCGTGGAATTTCGATCAGTTTCCCCATTCACATGGGTCTATATTTCCGTCTTTCCTATGGCATCCCTGATGAAGCCATTACCAGGGCACTTGCCTTACAGTGGCGGCATCAAGACGATAAAATCGGTGCTGCACGAGAAAATCTATACCGGTGAGCACAACGTGCTAATGAAGACTTCAAACATCCCTGCACTTCGTATTGCAGGACATTGGTGCGTGGTGAAATACAGTGGCCAAAAACCCGTGTGTTTCAAATGCCACAAAGAGGGACACGTCATCGCTGACTGTCCGTCTTTTCGAGCTGCCCTGGCCAGCTATAATAATAATAATAACAATCCCAACGAGGATAATGCTACTATTGGTAGCACTAATAACACTGAGTCTGCTACACCCGCTGCTCCTTCGCGATCGTATGCCGCGGTTGCAAGGGGCAACGCCTTATCTTCTAATACCTCCGAGAGTACCGGGTCATCCACTCCCTTATTATCTAATAATAATAGTAATGCCCAGTCAGCTCCTGCCTGCGTTTCCGACGCTATGGAACCTGCCTCTTCTGCCTTGCCTGCCCTGCTGCCTCCTGCCCTGCCTGCCTGCCCCTGCCGGCTGCCTGCTCTCTGCCTTGCCTGCCCTTTCTGCTCCTTCTGGGGAGGGCAGCACTGTCAACATGGAGTCCTCTCCATCGATCCCATCGAGCCCCGTTCGACGAAGACGTGGGAAACGACGCCATTCTCCCACCACATCACCACAACCCGAGGAGAAACGCGCGACGCCTGCAGACGTTGAACCTGAGACTGTGCCCCTTCCTCAGGACACAGATGACGATGATGATGATGATAATACTGCAACGGACTTGGATGACGAGACAAACATGCACACGAACATGGACGGCGATGATGATAATGATGATAGTGATGACGACGATGATAATGAAGATAATGATGATGTTGATGATAATGATGATAATGATGATGCTGTTGACGATATTGATGATAATGCTGTTAATGTACAGAATGATGAAAATGATGATATTGGTGACGACAACGAGTCACAACAGTCGGAAGTCGACCAAATGGACCCTGCCGACTACCTTGATCTTGGTGAGGAAGAATACACCAGCGATGATGGCGCTTCCTTCGCAACCGTTTCCAGAGACAGAACTGCCAACTGCCTCGTCCCGCGACTCTCAAGAAAGTCACACACCTGAGAATCGCAATGAGTCTGCTAGTACCGTGGCACAAGACGCAGACGCATTATATAAATTGGCAGCAGTGCTTCCCACCCAGGGGGGCTCTCCATCTTATTAACTTTATTTAACTTTTTTGACAAATTTTTGTCTTTTCTTTTTTTCGAATTTTTTCTTGTCTTTTATCATACCTACAATGACTAATTCATCGTCATTCCTTACCATTATTACATTGAACTGCCAAGGCCTCCGCAATTCGCAACAGAGGTCCGTTTTATTTTCCTGGCTTTCTTGTTTTTCGCCCATGATCGTGTGTCTGCAAGAAACCCACGCCACAAGTCAAACAGAGTTTGAACATTGGATTGACGACGAAACTCGTCACGACAACAACAAATCCAAGTACAAAGTTCTTTCCTCTCCTGGCACGACCCGTTCGCGGGGGGTGGCCGTTCTCTATCACCCATCTCTTTCTGTCCTTTCCTCTTCAGCCAACTCACAAGGTCGGTTGCAAGTTATCCGTTTTTTGTTTCACTCCACATCTTTCCAGCTCGTTAACCTCTACGGTCCTAACCAGAAGAAGCCTGGCATCGCGTACTTTAATTCTATCCTCCCTCTGCTTGATGTCTCTCTCCCTACCATCATAGGAGGAGATTTTAATACGGTGGTCGACCCACATATTGACCGCACTGGCTGTAACCCCACCTCACCTTGGGCTTACAATTGGCCACACACCTTGGCCAATCTTACCCACGAACTTAACTTGGTAGATATATGGAGATCACGCCACCCAGATGAACGTTCATATACCTGGTCTCGCGCTCATGGACAGGTTGGCTCGCGACTTGACATGTTCTGGTTGTCATCGTCTTTCATACCGTACATTAAGGAAGTCTCTATTCTACCTTATTTCCACAGCGACCACTTGTACGTTTATCTATCTTTTTCTCTTCCGGATGCGCCGGAGCGTGGGAGGGGCTGCTGGAAATTTAATAAAAACTTATTAAATAATGCTTCTTATGTACAACTAATTAAAGGTTTCTGGACAGACTGGAGATCTGAACAGATCCATTATCCTTCCTTACCGGTGTGGTGGGATGTTGGGAAAGGACTTATCCGCCAATTGACCGTTGATTTTGCTACCGACCTGGCGGCAGAGCAGAACGCAACCTACCAATCCCTCAGCAGTCAACTTAATATACTTTCTTCACGTCGCGACGCTGGTGAAGATGTGACTATACAAATTAATGAAGTGGAGGACGAACTGTATGAGCATTATCGGCGCAAGGCAGCTGGTGCACGTCTGCGTGCCCGTGATCTTTGGGCTGAGGAGTGGGAGATTTCCTCCAAATATTTTTTTCAGCGAGAAAAAACTCGAGCTGTACGCGACATGATGCATGCGATTAACGATGTCTTTGGACGTACTGTGCGCACCTTACGTGGCATCTTGCACGTGTGGATGCTGTTTTACACTGCCCTTTTCTCTGCAGCATACCTGGACGCTGCAGAACAGACCTTTTTTCTGGACAGGATTACACATAAACTGTCCCCTACGGAAGCAGCCCTTTGTGAGGGAGCTGTTACCTTGAAGGAGTGTACTGCTGCCCTAAATTCTTTTGCCAATAACAAATCTCCGGGGGTGGATGGCCTCACCTATGAGTTTTATCGTACCTTTTGGAATCTTTTAGGCCCGGACTTAGTATCGGTGCTCAATGCCTCCTTCAGTAACGGCAAACTATCATTATCGCAACGAACAGGCATTATAACATTACTTTATAAGAAGGGCGACAAATTGGAACCCAAGAACTGGCGTCCGATCACTCTACTCTGTTCGGATTACAAAATACTTGCAAAAGTTCTCACTGGCCGCTTGGCCGAGGTCCTCCCTAATGTCGTTTCTCCGTGCCAGACATGCGGTGTTCCGGGTCGTTTTTCCGGCGAAATCGTGCGTTTGGTGCAAGATTGCTTGGACCATGCTAACTCTTCTCACCTTGGGGGAACCCTGCTATCACTTGACCAAGAGAAGGCTTTTGATCGCGTGGATTGGGACTTCTTACAAAGAGTCTTAATCACGATGAACTTCGGACCTTCCTTTCGAACGTGGGTTCGCCTGCTTTATACAACCCTCTATTCGCGTGTATTAATTAATGGTGCTCTCGGGGGTCCTTTTTCTATTTCCCGGGGAGTACGGCAGGGTTGTCCTCTTTCCCCGCTTTTGTACATTCTGGCCGCCGAACCGCTTTCTCGAGCGATTCAGGATTCCACTGCTATCAACGGTTTTCCATTACCCAATGGCGAAACGGTGAAAATACTACAATACGCCGACGATACCACTTGCTTCGTCATGGACGATGCCAGCCTACTTGCTCTGCTCCACATTTTTGACCGGTATGCTAATGCTACGGGGGCGAAACTCAACCTCGACAAAACAGAGGGCCTGCTTTTTGGTTCGTGGACAACGAGGACCGATTTGCCAGTTGCGTTGAAATGGACCACCGAATATCTAATTATCTTGGGCTGTTGTGTTGGTAATGGTGCACTGCCGGATTGGGACATCCTTGTGGACAACCTTAAAAAGAAAACAAAATCATGGTCTCACCGTACCCTCTCCTTACAAGGACGAACACTCCTAGCTAACTCTATAGGCCTGAGCATCTTTTGGTATCAGGCTACAATTTTTCACGTGCCAAAAACGGTAGTCCATGCTATTAATAAGATCTTGTTCCCGTTTATCTGGAACAAACCAAAGGAACCCATTGCCCGCAGCTCTGCCGTTGCTCCTCGTCTCCGGGGGGGTCTGGGTCTAATTTTATCGTTACGTGCCATTTGGTTGCGACGTCTCTTACTTTCACAATACACTGTTCCTTGGCCTTCCCTTTTTTGTTATCATGTTTGCCAAGTCTTTTCACAAGACCTGGATGCCTTTTTTTCCCGGGAAACCATTCCCGCATATAAAATTAAACGGCTGCCAAAATTTTATCAATCTGTTGTGCATGCCTGGATGCAATTGGGGGGACGACGTGATGGTGATTTGTGGTCGATTGGGACACATAATAACACACCCATTCCGCTCGCTGAGCTCACTGCCGCACATACTTACACCGTGCTGTTGGAGAATGCTTTGACACCACATAAAGCTATAGAAAAATTCGCTGCAATGCAGATTAATGTTCACTGGCCGTCTGTGTGGCGCTCTCTTCGCCTCTGGCGATTTGTACGATCGATTGCAGATACGAACTATTACAACTTTCATGGCCGCTTGGCCACTGCGGACCGTTTGCTTCGTTTTGGCATGCGTGTAGACGCGAACTGTTTCTGTGGAGAGCAGGAAACTGCAATCCACCTTTTTTGTCAATGTCACATTGCTAAGACCGTTTGGGCCTGGATGACCCTCTACTGGTGCTCTGACCTACCATCTCCCCTTTCCATCTCCACCATCCTCTTCGATTCCCGGACGAAGAAGATCCCCGCGCCGTGAATGCCATTTGGCATCCGTCATCATTTGTGGCTTCACCGCAATCGATGCAGGTTCGACCGTCTCTCTCCCGATGCCTCTTCGGTGTTGCGGAGGGCGAAGTCGACTTTCCGATTCGCGGTGAAAATAGAACATCGCCACTGTCTCCTGACCAAATTCGAAGATGAGTGGTTGCTTCGTGGCTTAGTTGGCACCATCGCTGAAGACAACACGTATCCTTTTCCAAGGAATTTTGTCTTGAATGTTGGTGATTTGTTGGACGGGTGCTGATGGGGTCGCCTTCATTGGTTGTACTGCCGGATAGCCCGTTCGTTGTACGTCGCGTAGATTGCGAAAGGGCAGCTTGCTGTCCTTTCGCTATCTTGTCTCGTCCTTTTTCGTGCGTTTTGTCAAAGTTTCGGCATTTATGCCGGGGCTTAGTATCGTCGAAAGATCCTAGATCTTCCTTTTGTTCTCTGTCGGTTTTGTCCGCGGGGGAGAGGTTCACAACCTCTGTCGATCTGCGTCGCTGGTAGCGGCCTCCCTGAGTGTACCGGTCTTGCACGTAAGGGTTCGTAGTCATTGCACCCCCGACTTCGTAACCTACCCGGTCCCCACCCAAAACAAGATCAAGTGTAGCTGCCAACAGACACGGTGACCTGTCGAGATCTGCTGTTTCGGAGTCTGCGCATTGTGATCGTTCGTTGTTCGTAATCATATTCAATATCGTCTTCAAAACTGTGAGTTCGTTCCTTGTTTGTAAATTGTTATATTTTGTATCTGTTTTCTGGTAGTTCCTTATTAGGGGGCCCATTTAGGGGGCAACCGAACAGGAGGGGGTCTTTCCTCTTTTCTTGTTGCTAGGGTCTAGTCGGGGGTGGTTTGGCCACGTTCTGACACCTTCAGTGTTCCTTCTTATATTTCGCGTGTTTATCGCCATTTTGTTATCGGGAAGCTTTCTTCCTCGACTTGTTTTTGCGAAGCTACAAGACTTCACGTGTGATTTATATTCTTTTTGGTTTCTGCTATAAGTAGGAACTGCTATATACTGTGTGCTTTCGAGTTTTATAATTGCTCGAACGTTTATTTTACTCTAAAGAACGATCGTTTATCGAAGGTCGTTTGTACTTTGATCGGGCGTTGTTTTATAACTTCTTGCTCGTATTTTCTATTAGTTTATCTTTGCCTTAACGCTGATTGCTGTCATTCAGCTTTGCTTAATTTATCGTTTGATTTGCTTTGCCGTTGTATATTTACGCGGCGCTTATATATTATTCGTGGGCGTAGTCGAGCGCCTTTGCTTGAAGATACGCTAATATCCTGAGTGTTTTTGCACTAGTTGTTATATTTCTACTGGTGTAAGCGTGTTCTATACTTTTTCTACTATTATTTTGGTCTGTTTGACCGAAGACTTTTCTGCTTTGGGCGTTTTTTTCTGCCATAAACGCCTGCCTTCTTGTTTGTATGAATTGAATGCATGATTGCATGCATTTTTAATTTTTTTATACGCCCCCGTTTGATATTATTTTTGAACGGATTAACTAATATTTAATAATGATACCCTATGCTTCAAGAACAGTCGATATCATTCTCCATCCTGACTGCCCCCTTCCTAAAAAGGGAGCCAAGGATGTGATAAATCTTTTAAAGACACGGGAGTTGTTTTCTACTATCGAAGCGGTCGTTCAAATCTCACCGGAGCGATATCGCTTAACTTTCAATAACGCCCGCCAAATGCAAGCGTTTTCAAACCAAGACTTCCTCGTACATGGAAAGCCCGTGGAATTTCGATCAGTTTCCCCATTCACATGGGTCTATATTTCCCGTCTTTCCTATGGCATCCCTGATGAAGCCATTGCCAGGGCACTTGCCCCTTATAGTGGCGGCATCAAGACGATAAAATCGGTGCTGCACGAGAAAATCTATACCGGTGAGCACAACGTGCTAATGAAGATTACCTCAAACATCCCTGCACGCCTCCGTATTGCAGGACATTGGTGCGTGGTGAAATACAGTGGCCAAAAACCCGTGTGTTTCAAATGCCACAAAGAGGGACACGTCATCGCTGACTGTCCGTCTTTTCGAGCTGCCCTGGCCAGCTATAGTAAAAATCCCAATGAGGATCCTGCTACTCTTAGTAGCACTAATAATACAGAGTCTTCTGTACCTGCCGCTCCTTTGCGATCGTATGCCGCGATTGCAAGGAGCAACATTCTGCCTGCCAACGCCTCCGAGAGTGCCGGGTCATCCACTCCATTATTAATAAATAATAATAGTATTGCCCAGTCAGCTCCTGCCTGCGCCCGCCCCTCCGGAACCTGCCTCTTCTGCCTCTTCTGCCTTGCCTGCACCTGCCTCTTCTGCCTTGCCTGCCCTTTCTGCCCCTTCTGGGGAGGGTAGCACTGTCAACACGGAGTCCTCTCCATCGAACCCATCGAGCCCCGTTCGAAGAAGACGTGGAAACGGCGCCATTCTCCCACTACATCACCACAACCGGAGGAGAAACGTGCGACGCCTGCCAATGCAGAACCTGAAACTGTGCCCCTCCCTGCGGACACTGATGACGATGATGATGATGATAATAACGAAACGGATATGGACGACGAGACAAACACATACACGAACGTTGATGGCGATGATGATAATGATGACAATGATGATGATGACGATAATGATGATAATGAAGATGTTGATGATAATGATGATATTGCTGATAATGTTCAGCATGATAAAAATGATGATATTGGTGACGACAACGAGTCACAACAGTCGGATGTTGACCAACTGGACCCTGCCGACTACCTTGATCTTGGTGAGGATGAATACACCAGCGATGATGGCGCTTCCTTTGCTACCGTCTCCGAGGCGGAATTGCCCAACTCGCCTGCTCCTCGTCCCGTGCGACTTTCTCTCAGGAAAGACACACGACCTGAGATCCGAAACGAATCTGCTGGTGCCGTAGCACACGACGCGGATGCACTATATAAATTGGCGGCGGTGCTTCCCACCCAGGGGGGCTCTCCATCATATTAACTTTATTTAACTTTTTAGACAATTTTTGTCTTTTCTTTTTTCGAACTTTTTTGCCTTTATCTTACTTACAATGACTAATTCACCGTCATTATTAACATTTATTACATTGAACTGCCAAGGCCTCCGCAATTCGCAACAGAGGTCCGTTTTATTTTCATGGCTTTCTTGTTTCTCACCCCTTATCGTGTGCCTGCAAGAAACTCACGCCACAAGTCAATCAGAGTTTGAACAATGGATCGACGATGAAAATCGCCACGACAACAACAAGTCCATGTACAAAGTTCTTTCCTCTCCCGGCACGACCCGTTCGCGGGGCGTTGCCGTTCTTTATCACCCTCTCTCTGTTCTTCTTCGGCCGACTCACAAGGTCGGCTGCAAGTAATCCACTTCGTTCCATTCTACGACCTTCCAACTCGTTAACATCTACGGTCCCAACCAGAAGAACCCGGGCATCGAGTTTTTTAACTCTATTCTCCCGATGCTTGACGTCTCCCTCCCTACCATCATCGGAGGAGATTTTAATACGGTGGTCGATCCCCTTATTGATCGTACTGGCTGCAACCCAACGTCACCTTGGGCGTATAATTGGCCACACACCTTGGCCAACCTTACCCACGAACTTAATTTAACAGATATATGGAGATCTCGCCATCCCGAAGAACGTTCGTATACCTGGTCTCGCGCTCAGGGACAAGTTGGATTGCGACTGGATATGTTCTGGGTGTCATCGACTTTTATACCGTGCGTTAAGGAAGTTTCCATCTTGCCTTATTTTCATAGTG